ATGTATGTATGTATGTATGTATGTATGTATGTATGTATGTATGTATGTATGTATGTATGTATGTATGTATGTATGTATGTATGTTTGCTTGTTTGTTTGTTTGTTTGTATGTTTGTAAGTATGTATGATGGCGTCACTGCAAGGATAGGAGGGCAGGGGATGCATTTGGAAAACTGAACAGACGGCTGCGAAACGAACATGGTATCTCTCTGTGCCCCAAGATCAGATAGGAGGACAAGTTGCCCATCACAGAGGTTCATAAAATATGTGGTACTTCGGGCATTGAAGTCTTTATACTCCGGGCCCTATTTTGTTGTAGTGGTCATGTCATTCGCATGTCGGACTCAAGATTCCACAAACAGTTGTTTTTTGGACAGCTGGCCACTGGAAGTCATCTCGCAAGCGACTCAGTGTGGCGATAGAAAGAAAACCTAAAAGACAACTTGAAGAAATGTGGACTAAAGACAGGCTCCTTTTGTCATGACGCTCTGCTCGGCGTTCGGTGTGGAGAAGGAAATGCAAACGCCGTTGGCACCGGAGCGTGGGTCCGTCAAGAATTGGACTTTGTGATGATTCGATGACCCCCCCCCCGATGACGCAATCAGTCGGTACAATTGTACATGTTTAGACGCGTACACAAGCACGGTGAATGGGTGTCATACGAATAGTAATATACACAATAGAAATAATTTAATTATGATTCAATCATGCTTGTTTATTACGATGATAAAATTGAATATAATTGCAACATTGTATAATTTATACATACACATACCTACAAACATACATACACACATGCATCCTCACATACACAACACATGCATGCATGCATACTTACGTACTTGCACACGTACATAAACACATGCATTATGCCTGTGTGTGTATTTTTATCATTGCATATAAAAACATTTGTATTTAACTGTATTGAAGTATTGTATATATACAATACGTAAAATTGGTATTTTGTCTCATATATATATATATATATATATATGTATATATATATATATATATATATATATATTTGGGTATATATATACCCAGTGAAAATCCGACAAGCAATTTGTATGAATGAATGGCTTGCTGAAGGATTATGCAATCGATAGAGAAAAGGTTTGAGTTTAGGTTTTATTGTACATTATTGCTGTAATTATAATCTAATTAATTAATTGTTTAATTAAATAATTAAGTAGTTGATTAGATAGTTAATAAGCTAGTTAATTTATTGAAAAATTAATTAATTTAAAGTTAAAAAATTATGAAGTTCTTTGCGCTCTGCTTTCTTCTGGTATGTCATTAGATCTGATTTGTAAATAAATAAATAAACAAATATATAATAATAACATTGCTTTCTTTTTATTAGCATTATTGTATGTAGTACATATATACACGTACACACACATACACACACACACTCATACATACAAACACACACACGCAAACACATACAAACATATATACATGCATGTGTACATGTTATTATTATTATATTTCGAAAAAATTTGAGCCAAATCTAAATTTAATTCAAAGATAAAAAATACGTAACGATAATTTTAGTACCGAATGTTTATTATTATTGTTAATTATAATTATTATTATTATTAATTGTTATTATATTTTGCGACAATTGTTCCTGTTGTTTTTAAGCCGTTTTCAAGACGAAACTAGAATAGTCTGGTTCATCTGTACTTGGGCTAGCGAAAAGGTTATGCATAAACACGCATAGTTATTATACACACACATACACACACATACACATATACATACACACATATATACACACACAAACACATATACACACATGCATACACATATGCATACACACACATACACATATACACACACATATACACACATACATACACAGACACATGTACACACATACACACACACACATAAACATACATATACACACAAACATACATACAAACACACCTATTATTAATGTAATGTGTGTATATATACTTACTCTCCGTATAACAGCCATCTATTGAAGATAACAACAACAACAATAAATTGTTAACGTCATAATTTGTTTGTCGAGTTGATGTTTTTAATTGCTCTGTCATTTTCGTTTCGCTTATAAAATACAAAGATATTGTTTGCATATCCTTATCTGTGTATTATTACTATTGCTAATGATAAATTTTTTTAAATCTCTACAATCATTATCTCAATTATACATTCAGTTTATCGTCTTATCACCTGTTGTAATTCTCATTAGCTAACACCTTTACTCTCACACTCTCACACACCACACACACACACACACACACACATACACCCACCCACACACCCACACACACACACACACACACACACATACACACACGCACGCACATACACACACATACACTTACATAATATATAATGTATAATATATATATATATTATAATAATATAATATAGATATGTGTATATGCATAGTGTGTTTGTGTAGCGTGTGTATGTTAATACAAGTATACAAAATGCACTTATTGTGTTTTGAATCTCGAAAGCGCAATGTTATTGTGTTTATTGATGTTTGTGATACTAGAGATGCAATACAATACAATACAAAACAATACAATACCACACAATACAATACCACACAATACAATACAACACAATACAATACGATACAACACAATACAAAACAATGAAATACAATACAATACAACCCAATACAACACAATACAATACAATAAAACACAATACAATACAACACAATACAATACAATAAAACACAATACATAGATCAAAATATTGCTATTGGATTATGGAACCTTGAAACCAAAAAATTTGTGTTTTTTTTTTGGTATTTTATCTCAAATGACTTTTACAATATTTTATATGGTATATATACTTCGTATTAGTTGTATAGATTGAAATGTTTTTACAAAACTATCGCACTGCTACTACCATATTATAATACTAACAACATGAAGCTAGTAGTTGTGTAAGTATAGACTAATACTATTTTTATATTGAGAAACAAAAATGTTTTTTTTGAACCAAAATACTTCACATTACTTGCGAGTTTACAAACATTTTTTAAGAGACATTTATGAACATAGGAAAATATGAATAATCTAACACACACATACATTCTTTTCTGTAGTTCATTTTTACAGTTTTTCATGTGTTTGTTTGTTTGTATGTGTGTATGCGTCTATGTATGTTTGGTTGTTTGTTTGAATGTTTGTTTGTTTGCTTATTTGTTTGTTTGTTGATTTAAGGAGTATTGAACTACGTATCCCGTAAAATATTTGTTTCATTTTTTCACTATTTAATTTGTCTCCAAATACGCACACGAGGAATTCTTTCTATAATTATCTCTCTCTCTCTCTCTCTCTCTCTCTTTTTCTCTCTCTCTCTTTCTCTCTCACACACACACACACACATAAACGCACACACACATAAGCGCACACACATTTTCTTTCTCTCTTTTTCTCCTCTCTCTCTCTCCTTCACACACACAAACATACGAACAGATATACAATTACACACAAATTAGATATTTATTACGTTATTTTAATGCCTGTTTGGTGTGCAGCAATTATTTTCAAAGAATATTTCGCTCTTCTCTTTCTTTCTCTCACTTTCTCTTTTTTTTATCTCTCCCTCTCTTTCGTTTTCTCTCACCTCTACATCTCTGCATCTGTATCTACATCTTTCTTGATCTCCATCATTTTCACATACAGCACACATTAACTGTATACTGCGCTGTACATAGAACTGATGGACCTATAAAAGGCCATCTTCAAACAGAAGCCTAAATACTAGAATTCACTAATACTCTTACTTGCACGCACACACATGTACACACAAACACGTGCACACACACATGTACACACACACACAAATACAAGCACAAACACACATACAAACACACATGCAAATATTAGCATATATTGTGTAGCAAGAAGAAAGCGCACATACTCAAACATACAGATACACAACCAAACGTAGAAACACACACAGACACAAATACACTCACACACACAAACAAACAAACACACATACACACAAACACAATAAGTCCGTGATGTAATTTTTGTTAATGTGATTTTATTATACCTTGAATAAGTTGCCATCAACAATTCGATTCAGTTGAAAGACATCATCAAATTTGGACAGCAGCATTTGTGGCTATCAACAAATATAACAACAATAACATCAACAACAGCTGCGTTGTAATAACATTTGAAAATTTACTACAACAACGTTTTTAAACCTCTTTAAACAACATCAACATTCAAAAACAACATCAACTAACGTATAACATTAGCTAACTTAAAATAACATCAACAACTACTACAACAAACAACACTGATACCAAACCAGCCACCAGCATCATCTCCAACCAGCGTGCAAACAACAACAACAACAGCAGCAGCAACAACAACAACAAAAACATCAACAACAACTAACATCCCGTCATCATCAACAACAACAAAACAACAACAACCATGGATACTAAAAAAGGTAATAATAAAAAGGACGATAAACACGGCACCGTAGAAAAGTTAACCAAGAGCCCAAATACAGCAGCAGCAACAGCAGCAACAGCAGCTGTAACTGCAGCCACACATGATGCCGACAGAGACTCGAACACTCCAAGCTTAGGGAACAAAAAGGGCCGATTCACCGTCAAATTCCCTATTAACAAAAGTTAGTTTTCTAGATGAGAAATTGCGGGCCACGTTTTTTTTTAAAATGAATTGTGTGTGTATGTGTTTGTGTGTGTATGTGTTTGTGTGTGTTTGTGAGTGTGTATTTGTTTTTCATTTTTAAATTATACAGTAGTTTAGCCACATAGAACAACCAATTAATCAATTTCTCAATCAACTAGATACTGAACACATAAATCAAATAGAAAACCAACCAACCAATCAAATCAACCAACCAATCAAATCAATCAAACAACCAGCCAACTAACCAATCTATCAATCAACCAACCAATCAAATCTCTTACCCCACCCCTGACACGTAGTTGATATTGAAAAATTAGGGGCCGCTGGGTCCGGCTCAAAAGAGGCCTTCACGACGGCAGAGATGGCCCTCATCAAACAAAAATTACCCAACAACAAGAAAAACTTGTATCTATACGATGTTGGTATCACAATTGTATTTTATTGTTTTGTATTCCGTGATGTTTGTATTGCATCTCGTGGTGTTTGTATTTTGTGATACATTTTGTGTCATATCACACACGCACATATACACACACATACACGCACATACACACACATACGCACATACGCATACATACGCACGCACACTCACAGGAAGATATGAAGAGCATGCCTAGGACAGTGACATTCCTGGACTCCTTCAAGATCCATCTAGACTCCCACGTCACCTATCCGAGTGCAAAGACGGAGCAAAGAGCGGAAATGCTATCACAGGTGTGGTGATGATGATGGTGATGGTTTTGATGATTGTGATGGTTATGGTGATTGTGATGATGATTATTGAGATAGAAATAGTGATGATGACTATAGTAGCAATGATGATGATGAGAAAGAGGATGATGAGAAAGAGAATGATGATGATGAGAAAGAGAATGATGATGACGACGATTGTGATGGTGATAATACGACGACGACGACGACGATGATGATGATAATGAACGCCTGCCGGCCTCTTTCCAACGCATCTAATTGCAGCGTCTGAAAATTTATAATTAGTAATGTATAAATGATACCCGCGTGTTTTTACACTGTACTTTTTTCTCTTACCTCTCTCTCTTTCTCTCTCTCCCTTTTTTTCTCTCTCTTTCTTTCTCTCTCTCTCTTTCTCAATCTCTTTCCGCATATTTATTTCAAGTGCATGTTATGTTATTATTTTGCGTCATGTAAACGAAACCAATTTGGAGGCTGACAAGTTTGGCATGCAAATGTTTTGCCACTGCCGAGCAAAATATCACACAGTCACACACACACACACACACACACACACACACACACATTCACATACACACAGTCACACACATACAAATTCACATACACACGCACAAACATGCACAAACACAAACGCACATACACACGCAAATACATACACACATACACACGCATACTTGTACACACACGCACACAATATATGTATAAGAATATGAATGCGAACGAGAGAGAAAGAGTGAGAGAGAGAGAGAGAAAGAGTGAGAGAGAGAGAGAAAAAGAGAGAAAAGAGATGTTTGGGTCTTTATTTGTGTGTGTATGTTAGTTTGTTTGTTTGTGTGTGTATGTGTGTGTGTGAATGTGATTTTTAACCTATTCGAAGATAAACAGCATATTACTTCTCAGTTTGTCAATCATAATAGCAATAAGTGAAATATAAATAGGATGGTATGATGGATGGATGAATGTTGTGGTGAATGAATGAATGAATGAATGAACGAACGAACCAACCAACCAACCAACCAACCAATGAACGAATGAAAGAATGTTTAAATGATCACACATATGGAGCTATTGTTAAACAAACAAAGCTCGATCCAGAAATTACCAGGAAATTCGATAATGATCATGATAATAATAAAAATAATAAAAACAGGGTTGATGATGATAATCTTGATAATGATGATGACCTTAACGATGGTGATGATGATGATGATAAAATGTTGACAAAGACGATGATGATGATACTAAAAGAGTCATAAATGCGTCTCTTGTAGATGCATATTCTTCTTATTATTATTATTAGAAATAGCTCGGGCGTAGCCCATTGCCAACCAAATAAAAATCGAAAAATCAAAAGTAACAAAAATAAACCCTTAAAAATTAAAAACTGATTAAGATAGAAATCAAATTGACATTATAAAATTAAATGAGTTAGCTTCATTAGATGTTTAACAAAGTCATTACAGTGGCAATCAAACAGGAAATTGAATCAACAACAAAATCTGTCTAGTTAATACACACAAATATAATAAAAAACCAAAATTGAAGACGAACCGGAACAAAGGATTTTTAACAGAGAATATAAAAAATTGAGTCAACGAAAATTTAAATTTATAAATATAGGAAAATAAACAAAAGACACAATATTATTGAGATTATCAGAAATTATCAGAAATTAGCCCTCCAATCAAACATGACATCTCCAAAAAAATTGTCTATTGCCGATTTAAAACCGCATAGAGAGGATGAATTTACAGCAGCTGAGGGCAATTTGTTCCAATCATCAACTGATCTGTTAGAAAAGAAATACTTCCTACTGTCTTTGTGGCAAGCACCTGTAGATAACTTCAGATTGTGACCTCGAGTTCGATCATAACAAGAGAACATTACCCTAGAAATGATATCCTCCATAATTTCCCCATGGATTATTTTATACAGCAATATGAGATCAGCTCTACGACGCCTGTAGGCAAGAGAGGGCAAATTAAGTTTCTTTAATCTATTTTCATATGGAAGCTCCTTGCAAGAATTCACTGTTCTCGTAGCTCTTCTCTGAACCTTTTCAATTTCATCTATCAAACCAATTCTATAAGGATGCCATGCTTGTACGCCGTACTCTAGGTGCGAACGAACCATTGACTTAAACAAGGTTACAAATGCTGCCTCGGAAAGGTGTTTGAAATTTCTGGCAACAATTTCAAGCATACTATTTGCTCTATGAACTACCTTTAGCACATGATTTTTAAACTTCAACTTGTTGTCAATAATAACCCCCAGATCAAATACTTCCTCAACCTCAGGTAACTGAAACGTCAAACGATCATCGTCTAGTATAGTAAATGGCGGGCATGGTTTATTCGATTCTATTCTTAAGAGCTGACATTTGTTTGAATTCAACTTCAACCTCCAAGTTTTAAACCAATTCATCATGTTCACAAAATCTTTCAAAAAATTTATTTTATCTTCCTCACACTTTATTACTTTAAATAATTTTGAGTCATCAACGAAAAGGAACATACTATCACAAATGGAAGAAACGTCATTAATATAGATGAGAAATAGCAGAGGACTTAGAACACCACCCTAAGGGACTCCCACTCAAGACAGGTCTTGGTTTCGATAAAGTGTTGTTTAACTTGACTTGAAACACCCTGCCCTGAAGATATTTATCAATCCACTTTACTATCTTATGATTCACACCATACTGTTCAAGCTTGAACAACAAACGACTATGGGATACTTTATCGAAAGCATTCTCGAGGTCCAAGTACGCCACACAAACCTCGTAACCACGATCTACTCCTTCAGTCACCACGTCCAAAAATTTCAAAAGATTCAAAACCGTTGAACGACCTGAGATGAAACCAAATTGATTACTTGAAAACAAATTATTTTTCAGAAAATAATCCATAATGTGATCTTTTATTAATGACTCCAGAATCTTACAGCAAATTGATATAAGCGCAATTGGACGATAATTCTGAACTAAATCTTTGCGTCCTTATCATTCCATATCATCACCATCATCATACTCGTACATCTTCATTTTATCACATCATCATTTGGATTACATTCTTTAAAATGGGAACGAAACATCTGGACTTGCAACGCTCGCACACACACACACACACACACGGACGCACACGTACACACACACACACACACAGGCATTAAGACGCACTAAGATGCATTGATTTAATGTTTTTGTGTGTATGGAACTATCAGTTTGTTTGTTTATTTACATCTCACTCACTCACTCACTCACTCACTCACTCACTCACTCACTCACTCAATCACTCACTCAATCACTCACTCACTCAATCACTCACCTTTTCACTCACTCACTCACCTTTTCACTCACTCACTCACCTTTTCACTTACTCTTCATTCCTCCACCATAGCACTCCAAACTAGGCACTCTCTTGGGCGTGTACCTCCCTACAATCCAGCACATAATGGGACTACTCATGTTCATCAGGCACTCCTGGATGGTTGGTCACTGCGGTCTACTCGAGGCGGTAGCCATGGTCTTCATGTGCTGCTTGACCGTTAGTCCTGCTATTGTATATTCACTTATATCTAGTTCGAACACGCGCTCTGTCAGAACATTTTATACAGAGGAGTTTGAAAAATCTTTACAAGTCGTTATTCTTATTCATATACGCTGTGTGTGTTTGTCGTTGAAACCTCTGAAGCAAACGCAAGAGAGAGAGAGAGAGAGAGAGAGAGAGAGAGAGAGAGAGAGAGCGAGTAACCTTTAACCTTTATAGATGCTACTAATACGATTGAAAATACTGAGTGAAGTACTGTTAACTAGCTAGTAAGCTACCTACTGTGTTAGCGTTAGTGTTATTATGAAGGAAATGATTTATTTTATAAAGTTATTTTTCCTTCCTTAGACCTTCTTCACGGCAATGTCAGTCAGTGCCATTGCTACCAACGGCATTCTACAATGTTGGTGCAATTTTTGTTGTTTCGTTCTTGCAACAAAATAATAACAACAAACAACAACAAAAAAAAACATCAAAACAACGACAACAACAAATAAACATGTGAACAATACCACACCAACAAAGACCACCACAACCAAACAACACAACCAAACAACACAGCCAAACAACACAACCACAACACAACTCAACCAACCAAACAACAAATCATTCCTACAAAAGCTGGAGGTTCGTATTACGTGCTTTCTCGAAATCTGGGGCCCGAGTGTGGCGGCTCTATAGGGATTTGCTTCTACTTGGCCAACACCTTTGCCACCTGTCTCTATTTGCTCGGCTCCATTGAACTTTTTCTCGTTAGTTGTCGTTCTTATAATTACTTTGTTGTTGTTGTGGTTGTTGTTGTTGTTATTGTTGTGGTTGTTGTTGTTGTTTTTGTTGTTTTTGTTGTCATTGTTGTTATGTCGTTTGTGTTGTCGCTGCTTTGGTGATTATGGTGTGATTTTTGCCAATGATTTGATAATTTTTGTTGACAATGTGATAATTTTTCTCTTGTAACTTTTTGGTACAAAAATTTTTCGTTGTAAAGGCAACTTACAAACGCGCAGAGTGTACCTGCATTGTTGTATATATACATAAGCGTGTACATATTTGTATAGATTTGTATGTGCAAATCATTTAGTACAATCAAATGCATATACGATATAATTCATCCATTCATCCGGATATGCACCTTACAGCAGATATCCATTGATATGCGTGCGAAAATGTTTGCAATGCGTGATGCATGCATGCATACATTTTATACAAACGAATACACAAATATGCGAACATTGTATACATACAAGTATACAAAAGTACAAACATTTCATAAACAAAGAAAGATACAAACACGGGATTCGCATACAAAGATACAAATGACATAATATTGATTTGGCTATCAGGCAAACAAACATTTTATACAAACAAATACACAAATATAAAAGCATTTCATACACAGAGATACAAACATGTGATTTACATGCAAACATGTGATTTACATACAAACATGGAATTCACATACAAACATGGAATTCACATTCAAACATATGATCCCCATACAAACATGCGATTCAAATACAAGCATGCGATTCTGTACAAACATACAAATGACATAGCAAGGATTTGACTACCAGGCACATTGCTCATTAATCCATCCATCTTTGGACTGAGGACATCAATTTCTTTTAGAATATGAAAAAAGGAACAAAGATAAAGATAAAGAGAGAGAGAGAGAGAGAGAGAGAGAGAGAGAGAGAGAGAGAGAGAAAGAAAACGAAAGAAAGAGAGAGAAGGAGAAGAGAAAAAGAGAGGCAAGAATGAATAATAGATAAATAGGAAGATGGGATAAAAAAATGGATAGAGAGATAAATTGGATAAAAAGAAGGATAGAGCAAACATTACGACATGCATCATTCATTCAATCAATTCACCGATCAGACCAGCCTGGCGATCCGTGTAGAAAAGTTTTTAATTTGTGCTTCACCGTGCAATATATCTTGAGCAGGTAAACAGGCGTTCCCTATTCTCCAACAATAATTCATTTATGTATGCATGTTTACGCGTAAGGAATGAATGAATGAATGAATAAATGAATGAATGAATGAATGAATGAACGAACGAACGAACGAACGAATGAACGAATAAGTGATTGAACGAACGAATGAACGAATGAATAAATGAATAAATAGACAGGCAAACAAATGAAATAATTTATTATATAAATTCATTGAAATTTTTTTCATAAACATATTCACTCGCACTTCTTGCACGTAGGTATACATGGCTCCAGAGTTTGCCTACTTTGGGGACATCCACCACGACCCGTGGAACAACTACCGGGTCTACGGCACCTGCCTCCTACTTGTACTGACCATTGTCGTGGCCCTGGGTGTCAAAATCGTCCAACTTTTTGCCCCTTTCTCACTAATTTGTGTCATCCTGTCCATTCTAAGTATCGTCATTGGGGCGTGTATGTCAAACCCCGAGTACATTGATGTCAAGTTGGTCGCGAGTGGTGGAGGGTGGTTTTGGGGGTAGTTTGTGGTCAGGGGCCTTTGGGGTCCTTTAGATTTTGTGTGTGGTTGTTTAGTTGGCCAATAATTTTTGTCCGCCAGGGTATGCCTAGTTGGTGACAAACTGTACAAGTACCCTGACAAAGATTGGTGGAAGCAACAAAAGGAGTCGAATACCTCGGAAGAATCCGCCGTGCACTGGTGTAGTAAAAATGAAACGTCATATCTGTATCATAAGTTTGTATTTCTGTGTGTGTGTGCGTGCGTGTGTGCGTGTCTCTCTGAGTGTGTTTGTATGCGCGCGCGCGTGTGTGTATTCAAATGTATATTTGTATTGTATCACTCACTCACTCACTCACTCACTCACTCACTCACTCACTCACTCACTCACTCACTCACTCACTCACTCACTCACTCACTCACTCACTCACTCACTCACTCACTCACTCACTCACTCACTCACTCACTCACTCACTCACTCACTCACTCACTCACTCACTCACTCACTCACTCACTCACTCACTCACTCACTCACTCACTCACTCACTCACTCACTCACTCACTCACTCACTCACTCACTCGCTCTCTCATTCGTCCAATTTAAGATTATGTAAGAAGTGGAACGGCACGGTGGAATGCGATGAGTACTTCCTCAATCACAATGTCACCTTCACTCCAGCTATACCCGGAATCACCAGTAACGTAGCTCGGGGTACGTAAGCATGACGTCATCATCACCACCACCACCACCACTTCACAACCACCATCATCATCATCATCATCATCATCGCCATCCTTGCCACAATTTCACAACCATCCTCATCATCTCCATCATCATCACCATCATCGCCGCCATCATCACCATCATCATCACCATCATCATCACCACCATCGCCGTAATCATCATCATCGTCATTTCATAGAGAGTTTTATCCCCATTACCGTCATAAAATAATGGTAAAACAACAGCAACAGCAATAATAACCGCAGCAACAACAACAACAACAACTACAACAACAACAACAACTACAACAACAACAACAACTACAACAACAACAACAACTACAACAACAACGGTAACAACAAAACAACAACAATAATAATAATAATTATTATTATTTTAATAACATTGATAATAATCCCCCAATAGAAAACCTCTACTCCCACTACATGGGCTTCGAAGAGGTGGCTCCTGGCATCGCCGGCCACATCGGGAAGGGGGAGGTGGTCAGCGACATCACCACAAACTTCATCATCCTCTGCGCCATCTACTTCCCTTCTGTCACTGGTCAGTAGTTGGCTCCAGTGGTTTTGTGGCTGATGTGGTATATATTTGTGAAGTTTTTTATTCTTTCAAGTTCATTAAGTTCTAAATCTTTTTGTCAGGAGTTATTGATGGGGATGTGCGTAAGAGAGAGAAAGAGAGAAAGATAGATAGATAGAGAGAGAGAGAAAGAGAGAGAGAGAGAGAGAGAGAGAGAGAGAAAAGATTAGTAAAATGGAAAACAGTAAAAGAGCGAGAAAAAAAACATAAGAAAAAAAAGCGAGAAAGAGAATATAAAGTATGAGATAACAGAAACTACAGAAAGAAAAAGTACGCAAAAGAAAGAAAGAAAGAGAGAGAGTAGAAAAGAAAGAAAGAAGATAGCTTCTTATTTCCTACAGAAACACAAAATAGATAATCAAAACTTGTACAGTTTCACCAACACCACACCTCGACACGACAATCACCGCAGGCATTTTGACGGGGGTGAACATGTCTGGAGACCTGAAGAACCCACAAAAATCCATTCCCAAGGGCACGATATTGGCCCAGCTGACCTGTTCGTTCGTCTACATGCTGCTAATCATCCT